AAAAGTGGAAACAGTGGCAGATTTTATTTTCTTGGGCTCCAAAATCACTGCAGATGGTGACTCCAGCCATGAAATTAAAATACACCTGCTCCTTGGATGAAAAGCTATGACAAAGCTAGACAGCATATTAAAAAGCAAAGACATCACTTTGCCAACAACAGTCTGAGAGTCAAAGGTATGATTTTTCCAGTAGTTATGTATGGATGTGAGAGTTGGACCATAAAGAAGGCTGAGCACTGAGGAACTGATGCTTTTGAACTGTGTTGTTGGAGAAGATGCTTAAGAGTCCCCTAGACTGCAAGGAGATCAAAGCAGTCAATCCTCAAGGAAATCAACCTTGAATATTCATTGGAAGGACTGATGCTGAAGCTCCAATACTTACTTAGGCCACCTGATGCGAAGAGCTAACTGACTGATAAAGACCCTGATGCTGGGAAAGATTGAGGGCAGGAAGAGAACGGGGTGAGAGAAGATGAGATGGATGGCATCACTGATTCAATGGACATGAGTTTAAGCAAACTCTGGGAGATATTGAAGGACAGGAAAGCCTGGCATGGTACAGTCCATGGGGTTGCAAATAGTTGGACATGGCTTAGTGATTGAACAACAAAAATCTGTGAACATGTTTAGGGTGGTTTTACTCACAACTGCCAAAATTTTCCTTCATTTGCTCAACAGATAAATAAGTTTGATTAGCCGTACAATGGAATAGTGCTCAACAATAAAAGGGACTAACTGATTCATGCAGTGACAGGAATATGAAATGCCTTATGCAAAAAGAAAGCAAACTCAGAAAACTACATAATGATACTATGAAAAAAGCAAAAACTAACTACAGAGACAGAAAACAGATCAGTTGTCAAGAGTCTGAAGTGAGAGGAGGATGTGACTATATCGGAGTATTAAGAAAATCTGGGGGAAGATAGAAATGTTCGATGCCCTTAGTGTTGTGGTGATTGCATAACTACATTCATTTGTCACAATCTACCTAATTGTACATTATAAATGGTAAATTTTACTATACATAAATTATATCACAGTAAATCTGACTTAAAATTGAACAAACAAATCAAATAGGGTAGAAGAAGGAATTTTATTTTTATGCTTTGGGTTGAGTGCCTCATTTCATCATAACAATCTAAGTGTTTATGTTTTAACTTTAAGATGAAAGATGATTGCAATATTTTACTTCTTTCCTATAAAAACAACAATTAGAAATCCCTTTATTCACAGTTGGCAAAGAGTACAAATATCATCAGTTTAGATCAAATGTGCCTAGTAGTGAAATTAACTTTCTGCAGTAATGTAAAGGAAACAGACCTAATTGATTTAGAATGGTTATTCCTGCATTTGGGCTTTCTTTTCTCATTAGAATTTTCAAACCTATTTGTTTCAGTGCTGGGCAATGAAATACCTATTAAACACAAATAGAAATCTCACATTATTTTATAACAAAGTCCAAGTCCTCTCATTTTTCCTTTAATTTTTAAGAAAACAGACAAGTTACACAATCTAGCAAATGATTATGTACTACCACAGAGGCAAAACAAATGAGAAAAACTTAACTGTGTAAACCAGCAAAACACATGTCCAATGGATTTCTTCATGCCTCAGAATGGATGCTTATAAAGTTCTTGTTCTGGACTATTTTAATATTCTCATTTTGCATTTAGCTAGTTTATTATTATAAATGTATACTAAGACTCATAGAGAAAGAGCAGTGGAGGAGCTAAATATGTTATCATCAAAGATGACAAAAAAAAAAAAAAAAGATGACAAATATGCAGACATCAAAGATTCTGAAAACCAAGATAGGCAGTCACAGTATTATCAACTGGGCATGGAAAGAAAAACTGTACCAATACATGGCCAATGAAAATGTTCATGGTATAACTTTGCCAACACTTACCCATTTGTCTCTAATGGATTTATTTGTTTTCCTTCTTCATCCCACCTCCTCTTCCCCCTCCCAAACTCACCAGAAACTTTTAATTATTTAGGAAGCTTCAGAAAGTTAAAAGAGCAGCTAAACCCAGCAATTCATCCTACTCATGTCTACTCACATTCCTACTCTCTGAATAGCACAATAAAGGAGTGGTGATAAGAAAGTGAACAATTAAGGTTCGTATCTGAGGGACTTCAAAGGGAAGTAAAAGAGAGAGGCTAGATACGCATACCAGACTTCTGTGTAATAAAGTATTTACAATCAACTGAGTGGAATAACCACGTTTCAATTCTAACCCAATAATAAGGGAACAGTCAAATTATATGGTTGGCTTTTGCTTACCAAAAGGGAATTTTAGAAGTGTGATGATTAAAAAAGAAAAAAAGACTACTTAAAAATAGAACCAGCTGGATTATTTTCCTTGCATTGAGACCATCTGCCTCCCCCCCTCAACTTCCTGTACAACCCAAGAAAGTAACTTTACCATCGTGACTGCTTTTTAAGTATTTATTTTAGGAATGTTAGGACCATCAAGAACTTTAGAATCACAGAACTAAAAGGAATCTCATAAAGTCTGATGACAGTCCACTGGGATATTCTCAAATACTCATTCATCATATACGTGTATCCTCTTCTCAAGGATATTAGTGGAATCTTGTACCTAGAAAACGCCTGGAACTAGTAGGTGCCTAATATACAATACTGAATGAGCAGATTTGATTAAATTAAATGGAACAGAATTAGACTGTGGAGGGGAAAAAGCTCAATAAGGGCTCAAGAAATGAGAGAACATTTGAAGAGCAATATCTGTATCTTACCTAATAATACAATTCCTCATGATGAGCGCCTTACTAGTGTCTGATAAGATGCAAGTCGTTTGTGTTTTACATTCAGTCTCAAGAATGTATAATTACTAGACACTTATTTCACTTCAGTTTTCAGTTTTGTGTTGGTTTAGTGTAAGTTAGGTATCATTAAGTTATAGATTAAATTTACATTATCATTATATATTTAAGCTACTTTGTTTTTGCATTATAATGGCTTGGCACACGCCCTTCCTTACAATGTATACTCAGTCGTGTGGTAAGAGACAAACCTGTGTCAGAACCTCAGAGTGTCAAACCTGGTCACTTACTGGCTATAGAATTTTGCAGTTCTGGAATAATCTTGTAAAAAGTTAAGAAATAAACATTCAGTTATTAAAGAGATCAGTCCCACAGTCTCAAACATTGTTTCCCATTTAATGTTTTGCTATTCTCTGAAATGCATAAATAAATCACTCCTAGTGAACAAAGAAAAAAACTTTCTAATCTTCAATTTCCTAACATATCGACATCTGCCCTATCTATCTCAAAGGGCTATTTACAAGATGAAATGAGAAAATACATTAAAGAGCTTTATAGAGAAAAAAGTATAAAGTCAACCATTGAAGTACCACTATTTGTCCATCTGGAGATGAGTTAGCCTAATGGGAGTTAAAGAACATAGTCTTAGGTATTGTAGAGATGAAAATTCCTGAATTTAAAATCTGGATTCAATCACTTAATAACCATGGGATCGTGAATCAATTATTTCCAGTAAAATGGGGATAATGACACCTATCTTACATTGTAAAGATTAGAGATAACGTATGTAAAGTGCTTAATCCTATGCCTGACACGTTGTGCTAAACATTCAATATTTATTATTATTACAATAGGTCAACAGAATTTTCTCACATGATCACCCTATACATTAGTTCTATACAGTCACCATAAATGGCAAAGTCAAGCACAGAACACAAGTTTTCCTTCTGATAGAACTCTTTTTTTAAGTTTTAGCATACTAAACAAGAAACAGTCTTATCATATTGGACACAGTTGTAAATGTGAAATTTGGGATATCAGTCCAAGGGATAAGTTTTAAAATAACTTCAGAAATAAAATTGATAAATAACTGAATAATCATGAAACAGAGAAACAGTTTAGTATCCTGCTTTTATCCAACCAGTTCTTAGATTTTGAAAGGATGTTACAACCCACTAATTAATCACCCGACATCCAAAAAGACCCACCTATTCAAATATGAAGTTAATTAAGCAATACCAGGATACTGACCCCAAATCCTTCTTAACTATATTTTCTTTAAGATACATCTCCCCTGGGAAGACCCAGAGGGATCGGGTGGAGAGGGAGGTGGGAGGGGGGACTGGGATGGGGAATACATGTAAATCCATGGCTAATTTATTTCAATGTATGACAAAAACTACTGTAATGATGTAAAGTAATTAGCCTCCAACTAATAAAAATAAATGGAAAAAAAAGAAAAAAAAAAAAAAAAAAAGATACATCTCCCCTCAACTTTACACTGGAAGACAATACTTCTCACTCTCCTTTTCTTAGTAAAAAGATTCAACTCTGAAAATCTTCACATGCAGGAGAAATAACTAGTAATCATTGGCCAATATCCACTTTTCTGTATGCATCATAAGTCCTCTTCTTTCCTGGTATCCAAAAACAGACTTTAACACATTCCAATCTTTAACTTACTACATTTCTTTCATCAAGGAATACTTTTACCCTTAAGTTTCTATAGCACCTGACAGTTTTCTTTCTTTAAGCTTTTCACTCCTGTATATTCAAAACAATGCATCTCAAAGTTTTTCACAATACAATGGACAGTCACTGTACTAAGCTAAAGCAGAATACATCGGTCAAATTTGTCTCAGGTAGTTCTGGTCTCCATGAATCTAATCTTTACATCTCAAAAATATTCAATATGCTCTTAAGAAGACAGAGACCTAAATGAAAATCACAATGAAGGCAAGTGATAAACGGGAAAATTGGGACTAAAATGTTTTCATAACATATCAATTGACAGCAAAATCACTTTGAAAAATGAGGTCTATTTTGATGCACAGTACCAACTTTAATATTTTGGAACTCATAGTCTCAAAGGTTTTAAATCAGATCAAAAAATATCATCACTAGGAATATGAAGCTTTTGAATTTTTCAAAGAAAATACTTTATTAATACTTTAAAAATAATGACTATCTAAATAAATATACTTACGTACATTTTTAAATAGTTGCTCAGCAAGTTCTCTGACATGCTTTATCATCTTCATTGGGTTATTTTCTTCAACTTTAATTCGCTCTACTTCAAAAGCTACCACCTAGGAAAAAGAATCAAATGATATAGCATCAACTCTAAAATATGCTGAATTAGAAAAACATGTGATAATTTCACACAATTTGCAAACCAAAACACATACAATATATATATTATTATTAAAACAAAGTATTTTAGATTTTTACTGGGTTTCACCTCTATTCTAGAGTTAATCAAGTCCTCGGATGTTCCGGTGGTCTCTCTCTGATGACTCAGAGTCCTGTTTTTTCTTGGGAAAGTCACTATTTTTGGAACTCGAGAGATTCTCTGATTCTCCAGGCCTCACTCAGAGAATTTCAGACAGACAGAAATTCTCCAAACATTTCCCTAACTCACAAAATATGAACTAAATGTTCAAGTTGGGTCACTCTAGTCCTAGTTCTGCTAACAGCGTGATTTGAAACAAGTCACTAAGACTCCTGAGCTTCAATTTTTTCATCTTTAAAATAAGATGTAAGAACAAGATGACCTTAAGGCTCTTTCTAGTTCTCAAATTATAGAACCTCTGGTCCATTTCCTTACCAACTAATTTACTGGAAGAACCATGTTAGTGTGTACACTTGGAGTGGAGCAAAGAGTACTGACAGGAAAAAATGAGGTATGAGGAGGAAGTAAATAGATGGATTTTTTAAAAGGGTATAATATAGGAATTTTCATTCTAGCAACTAATAGATTCACGGGAGCAGACAGACATATAAAACTATGACTCCACCTATTGTAGGCCAGCATTCAGAAGGATTGCCAAAGAAAGTCAAATGCTTCTTTCCTTCTAACAGGTCTATTTGTTGGGTGTCTGTGGATAAGACAATAGACAGTGCTCAAAACTGCTCAAAACTCCATAAGCCTTGTGTCTGGCAGGCTGCCCTCAGCTAAATGAAAACAAGGCAAGAGCAAATGCAATTTTCCTAAAAGCACATTCCCCTGCAAGCCAATTAAGTGGCCAAAGAGAGTAGAAAAAGAAATTACTTAGATCTGAAGTCTCATTTCTTTTAGGCCCTTGACAGAAGTATATATATGAGTAACTGGCTTTCAAGTAATGACATCAATAAGACATTAAAAACCATCACTGTACTGAACACAGAAAGAGGTGAACACTAAGGAGAGACCAACAGGAATTAGTCTACTAGGAATCTTGGACAGGTCCTCATCATATTATTCTTTTCAATCTGAAGAACATATATATACACACACACACACACACATATATGTATCTGTTGTGTATATAAATGTACATAATAAAAGATAAGTTGCCATATAAAGTTAGAGACATAAAACACAGTTTAATGCTGACTAGTGGCTTTCAGAGTCATCTGCTTGGGGAAAGTCTGTAGGAGGTGGTGAAATATGAGCAGAGTACGAAAAATGAACAAAGAAGTAGAAAGAGAGAACTTTGGGCAAGGGAAGCACTTACAAAAATAGAGTCTGTGGCAAGCTGGCAAGCAAGTTTTCTGGAAGTAATCGATCTGACTTATTAGTTGTGATGAAGCTGTGAGAGAGTATTACTAAAGGAATTTGTATAGAAAGAAAAAGGGTGCAAACCCAAGTTACTATTTCAAATGCTTGAGACTACGAAAATGTAGGTGCTAGAAAGGGCTTTGGGAGCACCTAATTCATCCACATAAATCGTTATGTATCAGTTACTGAGCTCAAGATCTAAAGGGCGATGTATGTTAGTGTTAGGTAATCAATGATCAGTCATATTAGAGAATCAGAGATCAACAAGTGATCAGAAAAAACTGTCTACCTCAGGGCACTCTCTCCGAGATCTTCACATGTTTTGTGTTATGTAAAGCATTTGGTGTAGATCTCCATACTCAGAACTAAAGCATGTACCTTTTCCTTTATTCTTACTTTACTTAACTGTCTTTACAGAGAATATAAGACCTTTCTCTAAACAAAGATTCTTAACTTCTCTGTTATGAAATAAAACCACCAGCAGCAACAAAGGACCATATAGTCAAAGCTATGGTTTTTACAGTAGTCACGTATAGATATGAGAGTTGGACCATAAAGAAGGCTAACCACTGAAGAATTGATGCTTTTTAACTGTGGTGTTGGAGAACTCGTGAGAGTCCCTTGGACTGTCAATTCCAAATGAAATCAACCCTGAATATGCATTGGAAGGACTGTTGCTGAGGCTGAAGCTCCAATACTTTGTCCACATCACTTGAAGAGCCAACTCACTGGAAAAGACCCTGATGCTGGGAAAGACTGAAGGCAAAAGAAGAAGGGGGCAGCAGAGGATGAGATGGTTAGATAGCATCACCAACTCAATGGATATGAACGTGAGCAAACTCTTAGAGATAGTGGAGGACAAAGGTGCCTGGTGTGCTGTAGTCCATGGGGTTTCAAAGAATCGGACACAACTGTGACTGGACGACAACAACCACCAGCAGCATAATGTGACCACTGTTACTGTTCTCTGTTACTCTGGGCACTAGGAGTGGTTTTCTTTTACACACTTCTGAGAACTTTTACATTTCTTGGTTCTAACATAATGCTCTTCTAGAAGTTTAAATGGGAATAAGAGTCATTGTTCTATCTATCAGAATGGGCTTCTATGAACATAGTTAAATGATAAATGGAAAGATGCATCACAATAAGAAAAATCAAAACTAACACAAAATAGCATCCTTATTTTGAGTTGCATCTGCTCTAAATGTTCCTTTATATGGCCAATTCCTTGAAAATAGAGACTAAATCTGCCTTTCATATATTTAATATCTCCTAAAGGAACTACAACAAAGGTCCGTCTGGTCAAGCTATGGTTTTTCCAGTGGTCATGTATGGATGTGAGAGTTGGACTGTGAAGAAAGCAGAGCGCCGAAAAACTGATGTGTTTGAACTGTGGTGTTGGAGAAGAGGCTCTTGAGAATCCCTTGGACTGCAAGGAGATCCAACCAGTCCATCCTAAAGGAGATCAGTCCTGGGTGTTCATTGGAAGGACTGATGTTGAAGCTGAAATTCCAATACTTTGGCCACCTCATGAGAAGAGTTGACTCATTGGAAAAGACCCTGATGCTGGGAGGGATTGGGGGCAGGAGGAGAAGGGGACGACAGAGGATGAGATGGCTGGATGGCATCACCGACTCGATGGGCATGAGTTTGAGTAAACTCCAGGAGTTTGTGATGGACAGGGAGGCCTGGCATGCAACTATTCATGGGGTCGCAGAGAGTCGGAAACGACTGAGCGACTGAACTGAACTGAACTGAACTGAAAGGAACTACGAGCTCTGGGTTGGGAAGATCCCTTGGAGAAGGGAATGGCTACCCACTCCAGTATTCTGGCCTGGTGAATTCCATGGACTGTATAATCCATGGGGTCACAAAGAATGGGACACCACTAAGCAACTTTCACTTTCACTTTCAAAGAAGCTATACAAATCCTGGAAAAAAATCAGCATTAGTTAAGAATGACTTAGCTAAATGCAAAGAAGGTGCTAATTCTTACTTGAAATTTGCTATATTTTCCAAGGATTAGTACTTAAGAAAACACCCTGATTTGTGGTTCTTTTATGGAGAAACTGAAATTGTGGCCTCCTTTATTTTCCAAGCTTTGATTAAAATAAAGATAACAGTAAAAATAAATAAATAAATAAATAAGAACGGCTTACTTAAACTATGGCTCTAGGACACAGATTTAAAGTAATTGCAGTTTGAAATAACATATTTATACATTAAACTTAGACCTTTCTCTCTATAAAACTGTAAGTTCTACCTATACAATCACTGTCAATTTTTCAAAAAGATTTTAATCAACTATTTAAAATTCAGTTGTTCAAGGGAATTTCCTGGTGGTCCAATAGTTAGGACTCTGAGCTTCCAACACAGGGATACAGGTTTGACCCCTGGTTGGGGAACTGAGATCCCACAAGCCAAAAAAGTATTCAGTTGTTCAAAATTTCTATGTATTTTACTTCTGAGATATCCTATATTTTTTCTAATCCACATTATAAACACCAAGATCTGATATGCACAATAAATATTTTTTAATCTTAATTAAATGTTTAAAACACTGCTTCTCTCCTTTTATCTACTAATTTTGTCTGTAAATAATGCATTCATTTGATAATAAGTATACCTCATCAAAGAGATCACAGGATCTATAGGGAGGACCTCTTTCTGAAACAAAACCTGCAAATGCCATTCCATTGAGAACTTTAGTGAGGAAATCATTCTCAACTAGACCACGCTGTCCCAAGAAAGCTGTCTGTAAAGAAAAACAATGTGAAATGAATAAGTTATCACTTAGCAATGGATGAATGAATGGTCAAAACAGAAACATACTAGAAAGATCAAAGCCTGAATAAACATCTTCATGCATAAGTATGTTGTTATAAAATACATTTCTCTCTAAAAGGGTTTTGATACCTGAAATACTAGCTGTATTGAATAAAAATGAACCTGTCTATAAAGCAGGAGTGGAAATCAGAAATAACCTCAATTTTAAAAGAAAAATCAATCTAAAGTTAACATATTCTAAAGGAAAATATATCAGTTCCACAGTATTATCAAAAATTATCAGACACCTGACACTAACACAACACTGTAAATCAACTATATTCCAATAAAAATAATTAAAAAAAGAAAAAAATTATCAACTAGCCACACAAAGCAGAGATTTTAAATAAACAAATTTGATAGATTAAACTCAAAATACATGGCTAGAAAAAGATTGCCAAGTTCTTTTAATTAAATTAGAGTTTACATTTTGGACAGATAAGTATGGTATTAGATCTTACCTTGTGAAAATGTATTACTGGTTCTGCATGAATTCTTATAAGCTGTAAGCATGATCTATATCCTTGGAAAAGTTGTGCAAATAATCTAAGAAAAACTGCACGCACTTCCTTATCCTGAAAATATAAGAAGATACATGTTAGATAACTGAATTTCTTAAAAAACAAAAGAAAAATCACAAAATCAGAAAGTTGGAAAGAACCTGAGAGATTATTTAATAATTCTGTGCTTCCTATTCAGAAGTCTCATTTGTAGCAGCACTAAGTAGTGGGCACCTAGTCTGTCCCACAGTTGGACAGTGTAGGCCGTTAAATAGTTCCTTTAGAAATCGAACCTAGTAAAACTTTCCTCTAGTACATCCAATTTTCCTCTCAGAAAAAAACATAAATCAGAGAGTCTCTGCTTTCACCATGTTAGAGAAGGGCATATTTCCCAAGTCATTTGATTTTTATCTCCATCAAAAGAAATACTGTTACAAATACAAAAGAAAAAACTCAAAACTATTTAAAAAGCTTATGATATTTATTCCAAAGTTTAAACAAGTTCTAAAAATCTATTCTTACATTAATAAAGTATGACTTGAAAATGTGTTTTGATAATTCAGATTTTTAAAAAAAAATCATAGTTTTAGAACTCTACGGAAACTCTCAGATTTAGTCAATCCCTTATTTAATAGATGAAGAAAGAGTTAAAAATGCTTCATAACTCATCAAAGGTATGCAGTTCTATAACTTTCCATACTGGCTGCAAAGCTCATCATTAAGAAATGCACTGATCAAAATAAAAAAGGGGTCTCTGCTGTATGGTCACTCTTTGATGACTTTCAATTGGAACTACACTTATCCACTTGCCCAAACTTGATTTTCTCCTGTGACCAACGACCTCTGTTTCCATTTTTTATAATCTTCCCTTTTTCATCCTTGCCTGACCCTTTCAATTTGATGCTTGGCACAACTTTTCAGGCTCTAATCTAGGTTCTGATTTCTTCCTCCCACACTTGGTCATGCCTCCTCAGAGCAACAGTCTTAGCCTACTACCCTCCCAATCAATGTACTGCCTATGCCGTCCCCTTCAGGAGGCCACAAGGTCAATCAGTGGCAAAGTCTCCAAACTTCTAACTTGGCACACCTTTACTAGGCTGTCCATCTAACTCCCACTATACTTAGCTTCTTTGAAAATCATACAAAGAAAAGCAACTCTTTTTAAAAACATCAAACTTAAATATTAAACTTCTTACCAGCATTTTTGAGTGGGATAAAGCTGTTCGTGGAGGGGGAAAAGCATGATCTGCTACTTCCAAATCTGGGTGTAGAATCTAAAGCAAAGAAGCTCTGTTATGTAAAATATCAATAAAACCTATTATTTGATCTACTGGTGGCATTAAGATGAAACAGTACGTGAATTACAATATATTCATCCCCTCTATGAAATACAATACATTAATGGCAGCTCTGCATGTACTATGTGAAAAGATATTCAAGAAAGAAATATTCAATTAAAATACCTGTTGCAGGGAAAAACACATAGTTGGTTTCATTTATTTGAACATAGCCGATCCCTTCTCCAGGGGATCTTCCCAACCAAGGGATCGAACCCAGGTCTCCCACATTGTGGGCGGATTCTTTACCAGCTGAGCCACCAGGGAAGCCCAAGAGTATTGGAGTGGGGAGCCTATCCTCCTCTAAGGGATCTTCCTGACCCGGGAACTGAACTGGGTCTCCTGCATTGCAGGCAGATTCTTCACCAGCTGAGCTGACAGGGAAGCCAAATACTGAGCTACCAGTATTATATTATACTGGTATACATACAAATGAAAATGTAAAGTTCTGAAATACACACTAAAATATAAAATAGTAGTCATCTCTGAGAGAGAATGGTCTAGGGCAGAGCTATTTATCTATACAGTTGAAAATCTAAAGCATTTATTTTTATGTTTTTTAAATACAATTAAAAATTAATTAATTAAAATACTGAGAAGAAACAGAATAAGTCTGTGAACTTCACAGTCCAGAGGGGTGACAGTATAACACAATGTGACAAGTATTATAAATATATAAAATAATAATATATGAACATAAAGTATAATTAATTCAACCTAGAGAAAGTAAAAAAAAGAAGGCAACATTTGTGTTAGGCTTTGAAGGAAGGCAGGCTGAGGGGGCAGGTGGGAAAGACACATCCATGCAGGGCTTACACAGGGAAAATAATTTTGCATCAGTAAGCAGCAAATTTTTGTCTTTGCAGAATCACTTTCAAATACTGAAGATTCAGTATTATATTCTTACGATAGACCAAAAAGCTCAAAACAATATTTAGGAAAGACACCAAAATATCAATAATATTGATAATCTAGTCATCAAATCATTATCACAGTATAATAACATCTTCACATCTATAAAAATGTCCCTGATTATTATACTGTGTAACCATCTGATTATAATTATTTACTGACCAAATGAAGCTGATATACTTGTATGTCAAATCTCCCACACAGTCCATCAAATATGAAATTGTTTTAGTCCTATACGCTTATGTACACTGTAGCATATGATCCAACAAAGTGTTTGAAAACTGCATAAATAGGCATACTCAGTTTTACCAACACTGAATTTTACTCATTGGTCAAATTTGGTGGCACAAGTGTTGAAGGTTAAGATTTAACAGGGCGCATCAAAACCTCTACCAAAAGCCACTGACTTAAGAACTAAAATCTTAACCTTTGTTAATTTTGGTACTTAATCCCTGAATAATGAAAAATATCATTAAGTAAATGTACATTAATATTTTTAAACTTATTTAACATTTCTAGAACAGAAAACTTTTTTCAGTCACTCAAATACTATGTTCTTTAGCTTTTGCTCTCCATATACCACCGACGCAATTGTTTAGCTAATATTTTTCTTTGAAATGTCTTTAAATCAACTCATCTCTTTATATCCAGTATTTTCTTAGATGATATCATCTGTGAAATCACAGGTTTTGTATGTTATTTTTAATAAAATAAACATTATAATAAATACATAATTACTAAAATTAAAAAGTTGCCACATACCACACCAAATCATCTCCATACTTCACTCTGGGAAACAGGCATTTGCCATCCTTTGTATAAAACATTCATCCTACTGATAAAAGACTAGGAAATAGAGGATGGAATGTGATTTGCTCAAAAATACCCAGTGGCAAGATGCTGACTGGAATTTAGGTCTCCTAAGTTCTAACCTAGTATGCTTTTTACTCTATCACACCTGGTATTCTAGAGTACAAATTATATTGGGAAAAGTCAGTCTTCTCTAAAAGTTCCCGTCCTACACATACCACTATAACAATACAAGGACTAACACAAATTTGGAAATTTCTGAAAATAAAACCCCTCCTGGTAATCCTAGACTTCTGAGTTCCTATATAAGTTCCTATTTAAGGGGGAAAAAGGTTTTAAACAGCTCAGACTGGAATACTATTCAAGAAGAATATGAAAGCCTTAATTCTAGTAATGGCTTGAAAGGGAATGAAGAATTTCTAAGTTTCAAATTTCTGATGATGGATAAGTGGGCAACTAAAATGTCAGCAAAATAAAATACTGTGCTTTTTGCTTTTAGAAATAAAGGTTGACAAAAAATAAATTTGCTTCATTGAGAAATACTTAGATCACAAGATTTTTTTATAGTTTCAATGCACAGAATACTAGACATTTATCAAGAAGTTACATCTTTTTGTAGTAATCTGGAAACACTGGCCAGTCCTTATCACATTGCTTTGCAAGGAGTACATCTACCGAAGAGAAATGAGATGTCATTAAGAAAGGTGAACGAAAGGGAACAGATGCTAGCTTCTAACGAGGGATGTTAGGAGAATCAAGGATTTTGAGACATAGTCTGGTCTTGTTTTCAGAGGTGTGTTTCTAATACCTAGAACAAATATTCACTTAGGGTTCAAAGTATACTCTTTAGATAATATTTTGTAAATTATCCTATTCTAACACTATATGAGAATACACATACATATTTTAAGAACATATAACTCTCATTTTTAAGTAATTACACTGTCAATGAATGATATCCAATTACCTTAGTTTAGATTTAAATCAAGAGAAAAATACCTCAAGAAATTAAGTAAATTAAGAAAGAATATATCATACCAAAGAAAGAGCTGCTTGAGTCTGATGTAGAAGTGGTTCCGGAAGGGAAGAGAGGTGAATACATTCAGGAATTTTAATAGTGCCTCCATCCAAATCAGCTATGATTACATCTAACTGAAGAAGATTAAAAAAAAAAATCTGTAATTAATAAAATGTCTTTCTAGATTGATTTTCAGCTACTGTATATTTCCCAGTTTCCTCTGAAATTAGATGTGGCATATGACTAAGTTTCTGCTAATGGAACGTGAAAAGTGATGTGCACATTTTTGGGCATTCAAAACAGAGATCCAGTCAGGCCCTCCTATGCTTTCTTTCCCCTTACCATCACTGAAACTATGAACTAACAACCCAATTTGAACATATTCAGAGGATGACAATGCCTGAGTGGATTCTAGTGGAGAAACAAGAAGCAAAGAAGAGTGGTCCTTCCTTGAATGAGTTCATGGAATAAACTGGTCTGACATAATGGAACACTTCTACAAACTGCTGCATGAGTGTTAAATAAAATTCCATTTTGTTTAAGCCATTGCATTTTGCATGTTTTATTATAGTAGTTCAGCCATATCCTAAATAACATAGTAATCATAAGAATTAACAAGCAAAGCAACTAGTATACATCAAAACAGTACTGTTTAGGTAGCCAAAACACTAATTTTTAGCATTTTACAAAATCTATTTTAAAATAACATGAAAAATGTAATAGAGAAACCAGTCAAAATTATTGAAGGTATTATGTTGCTAACAGGATTAAAATTAATTCTAATTTATTCAATGAAAAGTTAAGAAATTTACTTTTGTCAATATTTGGTTTGTCTAACTTTCATAGGCTGTTTTTATTTACTGGGAAAATGCCTACAAACCAGATGAGTATGTTTTTAATTAGTACTAATGAGGTTTCACTTAATGTTTATGGATTTACAGATATTTTTATATGTTGATATCAAAGTTAAAAAGGAACCAGATATCAATACATAAAGTCAGAAAAAAGAATGAGAGTCCTGTTTATAACTGCAATGTGCAATGGTCTTCTGTCAGTTTAAATGACAATTATGATTTGATTACAATTGTAATTATATAAAAGTGCCTGGAAAATCCCATGGATGGAGGAGCCTGGTAGGCCACAGCCTATGGGGTCGCAAAGAGTTGGACACGACTGAGCGACTTTGCTTGCTTGCTTGCTTACCTACAGAGCTTACCTCTTCACTGGCATTTATAACTAAAATAAAATTAGAATAACAAACTCTTTAGGATTTGTGAATCACAGATGTCATATAACCCAACCTGTCAGTGAAGAATTTTTCTTAAACTCCCTGAAAGGTGTCATGCAATCTGTCTTTGCACTCTACTTAGAGTACTATTCACATTAGGAGACACATTCATCATCACTGGGCAGCTCTACTTAGTTGAAAACTCTTAGACTGAGCAGAAATTTGTTTCTATATCCACTATACCCACTGATTCTCTTTCAGTCTCTACCCTTCTTTCTATGACAGCTACTTAAATATTTATCTTTAGCTATCAAATAACATTACGTTATTACCTGAGAAAATTTTCTTAGGTCCTCAAAGAATACGGTTTCTAAACTTTTGACATCCTAAATGCCCTTCTATGAAATTCAATTTTGTTGCAGTCCTTCTTAAAGCACACTGCAGAGAAGTAAACTTGTTTTTAAGAGCTGGTTGAATACAGAGTATTACTTTCTCTCCTTTAGTATTTCCATTTAGTATTAAGAATAGAATAATCTGGGGGTGGGGTGGGGCTCACAATAAACTTGCATTCCATCAAAACCCTTTACTCCTTTGCAGATGCTTTTTGTTTTTTGAAAGTGAAAAAGTGAAAGTAGCTCAGTTGTGTCTGACTCTGTGTACCCATGGACCATACAGTCCATGGAATTCTCCAGGCTAGAATACTGCAGTGGGTAGCATTATCACAGACCTCATTTCAAAATATGAATAAATTAAAGTACTCATAATAAAAGCATAAATAGACTGCTAATAATGGATAATTTTTTCTTTCTTTCTCATATATGAGATGAAGAATATAGAAAGATAAACTTAATATGCCAAAAGAAGAAATTTTAAAATATTAATGAATTCATTTTATAAATCTCCTGTACTTGCTGTAAGGAAAAATTAATGTATTTAGGTTTTTTAATGATGCTGTGCTTCCAGCCAATCTTTTCTATTGGGAATGGAACAGATTTGAAAATAGTAATTAGTTTAAGTGCTGTAGGACTGAGGAGGTCATGGCAACCCACTCCAGGATTCTTGCCTGGAGAATCCCACAGACAGAGGAGCCCGGCAAGCTACAGTCCATGGGGTCGCACAGAGTCAGACAGGACTGGAATGACTTAGCAGGCAGGCAGGACTCAAAGAAATGTAACAAACCTCTGACCTCAATAACTAGCAATTAAAGATGAATACTTACAAGTTCATGAACATCAGTTTTAAAGACAGAATGTACTCCAATAATGAAAGGCGTTGGGGAACTCAGAACTTCCAGGAGCTGAGCCGGGAGAATAGGAATATAAGGGTAACTAGAAATAATAAAAATACACATGAGATATATTTGTTCTTCCATAATACAACATACCTTTCTTTCATTTTTATACTTTATGAATTTCAGATTATCTGTGTTTAGAAATTATTAATAATATTCTCAGAGTTGTTAAATTCTTGGGAGAAAAAAGATTTTAAAAATTCTTCATGTGAAAGGTATGATCTGATATAAGAGAATATGAAGTAAGCAGGGCAGCTTTCTTATCCCTTACCCCTCTAGGCAAGCAATCTCTTGAAGTTTTTCAAACTTGCTTGAAAGAACTTTTCCTTACATAGAGATCTGACATCAGTTGGTAACACTGACTTCCTGATGGAATATCTCCCCACCCTTCACATACTGGTGATAATGCATTTCTCTATATAAAACAATCATTCGAGTTCCATTTTCTCTACTAGATTTTTATATTTGGTAACAATGGGTAGGTAAAAAATTAAGGTTTAGAATGCTCTCTTATCTGGAGGTTTAAAAAAGCACACAGGTTAAAAAATATTTTTAATAAAATCTGTAGACTGTCTAAATTTTTTCTAGGTCACTGTGATTAACAAATTGATAAAAAATATATTAGAATAAAATATTGTACTTACAGCACTCTCAGTCATCACTGTTTTCCTTTATACTTTTTATTACAAAAAAACTAACATACCTCTCTGCCCCCAAAATAGAGGGAAAAAAAAGGAAGATAAAGCCTCATGTATTTAATCAGCTTTGACAATCACCAATGCATGGCCACATATATATTTCTACCCATTTTTGTTCTTTTTCCTACCACATTATTTGGAGCAAATCCCAGATACCATATCATGTATACATAAATACTTTAGTATATATCTAAAAAAGGTAAGGGCTATTTTAAAAGTAAAACTATAATACCACTATAACTGCCTGAATTAACAATAATTTCTTAATATTAAATAATCAGATAGTACTATCTTAAGACTTTTATCTCCAACTATATTCAAAGGGAATTAAATGTTGCTGACAATACTATTCAAATTGATTAATTTTTCATGAAAGGAATCAACACTCAATAATAGGCAACTTGGAAAAGTTCCAAATTCCAGGCTAGATTTCCATCAGAATAATGACTCTTGTAACAGCATAACATTGTAAAATATGCCCTTGTCATTCAAAACTGTTGTGAAATGATGTTTTGATTGATCATTGATAAGGAATGCATAATCTGGGAGTAAATAAAAATACCAAATAAAAACCCTTACCTATATTTAAGAGGAAACATTAATGACTCCAGGGCTCTACAAGCATCACTAAGTCTCTGGAAACTTGCAGAATGGAAGAGAACCTTATTTTCTGTAAGGACTGCACAAAAGAGGCTGAGGACATTTTGAATTCCTGAAAACACAAAGAACAAATTCTTACCAAATGCATTTAATTTTATTATGAGCTGCCAAGAAACATAGCCTTAGAATGACATGGAATGAAAAAGCGAATACTTAAAAAGTCTCTGAAGAAAAATATTTAGTTAAACTATGAATTCCAAACAGCCTATGCGTATTTGTTTTCCCAAACTTTCAGTTTTGTTTGTCTTATTCTTCAAATCAGTGTACACTCATTGAATATATTAGTTAATTGGAAATAAACTATTACCTTCTTTTTGACTTCATCTCCAAGCTCTGTACTTAAATTTCTATTTTAGATGCTTGGCCTTGTTTTAATAGCTTTTCTCCCTTTTAAAGTTAATTTGTCTGATGTTAACATAACCAAACCAGTTTTGTTGTTGAAATTTTCCTAGTATATCTTTTTTTCAACTTTTTACATCTACCTTTCTCTACTTCTTGAAAATAGCATATAGTTGACAATTTAAAAAAATCTCCTCTAAAAGCAAGAAAAAAGCAACATAGGAGAATAATATGAATTTATAATTTACATGAGGAAATCAAAATGGCTGATTAACCTGAAAAGAAGCTCCAACACTTTTAATAATCAGAAAAATTCAAACTAAAAAATTCAGGAGGTATGATTTTAAACCTACTACAACAGCCAAAATTAGAGTTTGACAATTTAAAGTTTTTATGAGGATGGTAGGGAAAGGAATGATCATATACACTGCTGTGACAAACATAAAGTAAGTTAAGATGGACATGCACATACCCTGGTATCTAGTTAATGCAGTAATTTTAATAATTCCATTTTGAGTTATTTATCATAGAAACTTTCATATGTACCCAAGAAGATAAGGTACAAAAAGGAACACTGTAAAAGTATTTAAATAATGAAAAAAGTGGATACATCCCAAATATAAGAATGAAAAATAAATTATAGTAAAATTTAAGTTTAAGTTACTAAAAATTAAACTTCTGACTGAAGATGGCAAATGTTGACTGAAACAAAAAACTAAAACTAAAATTTTATTATTCAAAATTTATAAAATGAAATAATTATTAAAGAAATTTAAATATTTTCAAGTGATATGGCTTTTGTGGGGGGTAAGCCAATAACATTTATACCTATGACTTTAAGATTAAAACATCACTAAGACTTTAGGGATACCTTTACAACCTGAAAATAGGAGAGCTAGTGCTAATATATCAGTGTGAACAACTCTCCCAAATATAAAGTTGAGTGAGGAAACTATGGTATAAAGTGATTCTATAGATTGATAGCATTTATATATTGCTTAAAACCATACAAAATGCTACTATATACCATTCAGGTATATATCAATACAAACATAGTCCATATAAAGATATATCCAGGAATAAAAAGAACCAAATAAAGGATAGTATTTATCTCTGGGATGAGGTGGCATACACAAGAAGTTTCAACTATAATCATGATGCCACATTTATTAAACTGAATAACATGTGTGTGTTCAGTTGTTCAGTCGTTTTGGACTCTTTGTGACCCTGCGGACTGTAGCCCTCCAGGCTCCTGTGTCCATGGAATTTCCCAGGCAAGAATACTGGAGAAGGTTGCCATTTCCTTCTGCAGGGGATCTTCCCAACCCAGGGACTGAACAGGTGTCTCTTGTGTCTCCTGCACTGGTAGGCAGATTCTTTAGCACTGAGCCACCTAAGAGATAACACTAAATATTTTTCTTTGGAAATAATTAAAGCTTACAAAAAAGCTGCAAGAACAGTGCACAGAGCACCCAAATATCCCTCACAATGATTCACTAATGTTGAATTTTGCTCCATTTGCTTTAACATTTGTACTTCATGTGTAAGCATGCCCTGCCTCTTTCTAAAACCACACACACGTTTTCTGACCCATGTGACTGTACACATCATGACATTCACCCTTAAATATGTCAATATGCTTTTCCTAAGAATAAAGATAATGTCTTCCTTAACCACAGTATGGTTATCCTCCTCAGCAAATTTAACATGTTGCAATATTTTAAGTCTAATCCAAAATCACTGCAGATGGTGACTGCAGCCATGAAATTAAGAGGTGCTTGCTCCTTGGAAGAAAAGCTGTGACCAACCTAGACAGCATATTAAAAAGCAGAGACATTACTTTGCCAACAAAGGTCTGTCTAGTCAAAGCTATGGTTTTCCAGTAGTCATGTATGGATGTGAGAGTTGAACTATAAAGATGAGCACCGAAGAATTGATGCTTCTGAACTGTGGTGTTGGAGAAGACTCTTTTTTTTTTCTTCAGTTATTAGTTGGAGGCTAATTAGTCCCTTGGACTGCAAGGAGATCTTACCAGTCCATCGTAAAGGAAATCAGTCCTGAATATTCATTGGAAGGACTGATGCTGAAGCTGAAACTCCAATACTTTGGCCACCTGATGTGAAGAACTGACTCATTGGAAAAGACCCTGATGCTGGGAAAGATTGAAGGCAGGAGGAGAAGGGGATGACAGAGGATTATATGGTTGGATAGCATCACTGACTGAATGGACATGAGTTTGAGCAAGCTCCGGGAGTTGGTGATGGACAATGAAGCCTGGCATGCTGCAGTCCATGGGGTCACAGAGTCAGACACGACTGAGTGACCAAACTTAACTGAATATTTTAAATCTAATCTCACATGCGTATTCTTATTTTGTTTCATTCTGACTCAAAATTATTCTTTGGAACTTTTCCCCTACCATAAGGATTCATTCTAAGCTCAATATTTCATTTAGGTGTCCTGTTTCTTTGCTGTGCTGTGCTTAGTCACTCAGCATGGAGCATTTCCACAGCCTTAAATTATTTTCATTGAGATGAAATTCACATACCATAAGATTAACCATTTCAAAGAAAACAATTTATTGATTTGCTTACTAAATCATCCCAAGGAGTATATCCTACTCAATCACGTTCTATCATCCTTTACCATACTGAAGAATTTGGTTTGCCAATATTTTGTTGAAGATTTTTGCATCTAAATTCAAAACGCTAAACCTGTAGCTTCCTTTTCTTGTAGTGTCCATCTGACTTTGGTATTAGGGTAATGCTGGCCTTGTAAAATGAGTATGGAAGAGTTCCCACTTCTCCTATTTTTCAGAAGAGTAGCTAATAGACAGCTATTAATTCTTCAAATTTTTCATTGGATTCATCCAGAGAAGCCATGTGGTCCTTGACTTTTCTTTTAGGGATGTTTTTGATTACTGATTCAATCTCCTTGTTAATAACTGTCCTGTTCAGACTTCCTATTTCTTTATTATTCTGTTTTGGTAGGTTTTATGTTTCTAGGAAGTTATTCATTCTTCCAGGTTATCTAATTATTGCTGGGATCACAGGAGTTGCTTATCATCCGTAGTGTTTCTGTGGTATCATCAGTAATGCCCCCTCTTTCGTATTTGATTGTATTTGAGTTTTCTCTTTTTTTTCCTAGTCTAGCTAAAGGTTTATCAATTTTACCTGTCTTAAAAAAAAAACAGCTTTTAATTTCACTCATCTTTCCTACTGTCTTTTCATTCTCTGTTAATTTTTTGCTCTGATCTCAGTTATTTCCTTCCTTCTACTAACTTCAGACTTCATTTATTCTTCTTTTTCTAATTCCTTGGAAGGTAAAGTTAGGATGTTTGAGACCTTTCTTTTTTCTTAATGCAGATATTGATCACCATTACCATCCCTCTTACATCTGAATTCGCTGCATCGTGGAAGTTGTGGTGTTTGCTTTTCCATATTCCTTTGTCTCATGATACTTTCGATTTCCCTTTTGATTTTTTCATTGACCCACTGGTTGTTTAAGAACATTCTGTGTAATCTCCATACATTTGTGAATTTACAAGTTTTCTTCCAGTATTGGTTTCTAGTTTCACACCATCCTGGTTGAAAAACACATTTGATATGATTTCAATATTCATAAATCTATTAAGACTTGTTTGTGGCCTAATATATGATTCATCTTAGAGAATGTTCAATGTGTGCTTGAGAAGAATGTGTATTTTTTGCTGCTGTTGAATGGAAGGTTTTATATATGTCTGTCAGGTCCATCTGCTGTAACATTTTCAGTTCTTGCTATTTGCCTTACTGATTTTCTCTTTGGATGATTTACCTGTTGTTGAATGTGGGGTGCTGAAGTCCTCTACTATTATGGTATTGCTGTCAATTTTTCCCTTCAGATCTGTTAATATTTGCTTTATGTATTTAAGTTATCAGACGGTAGGTGCATAAATACTTACATTTATTATAACTTCTTGATGAACTATTTTACCATTTGTTGCTATTGTTCAGTCGCTCAGTTGTGTTCAACTCTTAGAGACCCCAGGGACTGTAGCATACCAGGCTTCTCTGTCCCTTACCATCTCCTGAAGTTTGCCCAAGTTCATATCTATTGCATCAGTGATGCCATTTAGCCATCTCATTCTCCGACGCCCTCTTCTCCTTCTGCCCTCAATCTTTCCCAGCATCAGGGACTTTTCCAATGAGTCAGCTGTTTGTAACAGATGACCGAAATACTGGAGTTTCAGCTTCACATCAATCCTTCCAACAAGTATTCCAGGTTGAGTTCCCTTAAGACTGACTGGTTTGATCTTCTTGCTGTCCAAGGGATTCTCAGAAGTCTTCTCCAGCTCCACAGTTCGAAGGCGTCAATTCTTTGGTGCTCTGCCTTCTTTAAGGTCTAGCTTGCACAACCATCATGACCACTGGGAAGACCATAGCCTTGACTATACGAAATTTTGTCAGCAGAGTAATGTCTCTTCAACACACTGTCTACGTTTGTCATAGCTTTCCTGCCGAGAATCAAACATCTTCTGATTTCGTGGCTGCAGTCACCACCTGCAGTGATTTTAGAGCCCAAGAAGAGGAATTTACCATTATATAATGACTTTGCCTCTTATTACAGTTTTTTGGCTTAAAGTCTATTATGGCTGATATCAGTGTACCTGTCTGTACTTTCTTTTGGCTTCTATGTGCATGAGATACATTTTTTATACAGTTTCACCTTCAGTCT